ATAATACAGCGCAGCAAGAAACTACACGAAGAACGCCGTTCAGTCTGCTTCATGGCCGTGAAGTGACGACGATGCTTTACGCCATGTTACTGCACGACTGCAATGACATCGATTTGGACGCTGCATCTTTTACCCAACGAGCAGAAGAAGCGAGGCAGCTTGCGCGCGTCCTAATCACCCAGCAGCAAAATTATGACACCCAACGTTATAATCTGCGACACCGACATGTCGTCTATCGGGCTGGCGACAAAGTCTGGGTATGGAGTCCTATCCGCCGCCGGGGACTGTCCGAAAAATTGCTGAAGAAGTATTTTGGCCCCTACACAGTTTTACAATGCCTGAGCGACGTTAATTACGTGGTCGTTCCTGACAGCCCCTCGACAACTCGCCAGCAAAAACCAGAAATCGTGCACGTTGTGCGAATGAAGCCCTACTTTTCGGACTGATTTACACCATACATCTACTCCACCGTCTTTTGTAGAAGAGCATCGGGACGCTGCTCTCTGGAGGGGGGCAAATGCCACATTGAATAAGCAGCGCCAAGAGAACAACGAAGAACACGCGCAGCGAGAGAAGAAGATGAGGTTCTCTTCCGATCAGTTTGCCAGTGTTCTGGTACAATTAAAGGGAGTTTCCTGGATTCGACTGCTGCTGTTTCTGCATTGTGACAATATTCGCACAAGCCTAGTGTGTTGGCACCAAGAGAAACCACTACTGATTACTAAGCATGGAGGCCGCCATTGCTCGATAGCGATGGCAATAAGACTGCCCTGCTTTTTTAACAGGCTTGCTTTTGGGCCACAGACCATCCGAAGTTGAATTTCAGTTTCCTACACGCTGATGCTGGGTGCAGTGCCAGTGCTTTTGGTTATTTTCGTGCTTGGCCAGTGTGGTCACTGGTCAGAGTGACAGTTCGTCCGCATTGCCAACAAGATAAGCCAGCCTCTACTAGTGGATGATAAGAATAGTATAGACTAAAGCGCCGTTGAAGGCGACCAACACCTGTTGATCAACCGCAAAATTTGCATCACCAGAGGATTAGCCGAGCTGCGAGGAGGAAACGCAAGAGTGATGTTCACGAACTTCAGCAACGAGTACAAGCATGTGAGCAAAGGCACGACGGTTGTCTACATCTAAGAGATACTGGAAGCCAGCAACACTTTTGCCCTCACCGATTCTGCATATTCTACTCCAACGATGGATACCCTTCGACCAGCCTTCGACGTTAATCCAAGCCTTCTAATGCATAAACAAGAGCAGCTCGAAAACCTGCTTCTGAAATACAAGAACTGCTTTTCGTCATCATCAAGAATTTGACAGACCCCTGTTGCGAAACATCGAATCACAATAGAAGAAAATGCTAGGCCACTTCGTCAGAGCTTGTACAGAGTTTCCACGCAAGAACGCTTGGCCATAAAAAAACAAGGCGATGAAATGCTCCGCAACGACATTATCTAGCCTTCAAAGAGTCCATGGGCATCACCGGTGGTGTTAGTGAACAAAAAGAATGGAACACTGCGCTTCTACGTCGACTATCGCCGACTCAAAAAGATAACGCAGAAAGACTTATACCCTCTCCCCCGAATAGATGACGCCCTTGATCGACTCCACAGCGCCAAAGACTTTTCATCGATGGACCTCAAAACAGGCTATTGGCAGATCGATGTAGACGAGAGAGACCGAGAACAAACAGCGTTTGCAACACCAGACAGCCATTTCGAGTTCAAGGCGATGATGCCCTTCTGTCTTTGCTCGGCACCTGCGACTTTTCAACGCATTATGGACACAGTGCTGGCAGGATTAAAGTGGAAGGCTTGTCTCGTTTACTTGGACGACGTCGTTGTGTTTTCCTCAAGCTTCGATGAGCATCTTTGGTGCCTTGAAGCTGTACTTCAAGCCATTTGGCAGATCGATGTAGACGAGAGAGACCGAGAACAGACAGCGTTTGGAACACCAGACGGCCTTTTCGAGTTCAAAGTGATGCCCTTCGGTTTTTGCTCGGCACCTGCGACTTTTTATTGCATTATAGACACAGTGCTGGCAGGATTAAAGTGGAAGACTTGTCTCGTTTACTTGGATGACGGCATTGTGTTTCCCTCAAGCGTCGATGAGCATCTTTGGTGCCTTGAAGCTGTACTTCAAGTCATTAAGACTTCCAGACTCACCCTGAAGCCAGAGAAGTGTCGCTTCGCGCACGAAGAACTTTTGTTCTTGGGCCAGGTGATAAGCAAGTTTGGAGTAAGACCTGATTCGCAAAAAAAATAGCTGCCATCGTTGTATTTCCGCCGCCCGCCGACAAAAGGTCATGCGTCGATTTCTCGGCCTGTGCGCCTATTACAAGCACTTCGTCAAAAACTTTGCCACATCGCCGAGCCACTCTCTAACTTTACGAGAATTGCATCGAGTTCAAGTGGTAAACCCCACAGGAGAAATAATTCAAGGAACTAAAATGACGCCTGCAGATACCTCCGACACTAACACATTTGGACAAAAACACCAAAATAGAAGTGCACACTGACGCAAGCAGCGTAGGACTTGGCATCGTCCTTGTGCAGAGAACTGATGGACTGGAAAGGGATATTAGTTATGCTAGCCGGTCGCTATCCAAAGCAGAAAGCAATTATTCCACAACAGAAAAGGAGTGCCTTTTGGGAGACGTCAAAGTTTCATCCTTACCTTTACGGCAGGCCCTTCAAAGTTGTGAGCGACCACCACGCCTTGAGTTGGCTAGCTAACTTGAAAGACCCTTCAGGTAGCCTTGCCTTTGGAGCCTGAGACTTCAAGAATACGACATTACCGCCATTTAGACGTCCGGCAGAAAACACTCTGATGCAGACTGCCTGTCGCGAGCCCACGTCAACCCACCACCGCCCGAAGACCTGAATTATGACTGCTTCTCGGGAACGATAACTGTAGACGACTTCGCTCAGCGCCAGCGGGCTGACCCATAACTTAGGAGCCTAATCAAATACCTCGAGAGCAGGACCTCCATTGTTTCGAAGGTATTCAAATGGGCACTTACGTTGTTTTCGCTGCGAAACGGCCTTCTCTAAAAGAAGAACTTTTTGCCACTTCGAGCCAAGTACCTTCTTGTGGTGCTTTCAGCTCTGCGACGAAAACTCCTCCAGGCCCTGCTTGATAATCCAACAGCAGGACACCTTAGTGTTTCCCGCATGCTCGTGAGGATACAAGAAAGGTACTACTGGCCCTGCCTTACCGCCGACTTCGCTCGTTATGTGAGGACATGCTGAGGCGGTCGGCGACACAAGACACCACCGACAAAGCCAGCAGGCTTTCTTCGGCCGATCGAATCACCTCGCTGACCATTCCAACAAATCGGGATGGACCTACTGGGGTCGTTTCTGACTTCAATATCAGGAAACAAATGGATCGTCATAGCTACTGACTACCTCACCCGCTATGCGGAAACAAAGGCCCTACCCAAATGTAGCGCCGAAGAGGTAGCAAAGTTTTTCGTTGAGAACATCTTCCTTCGTCATGGCACCTTAGATGTTGTCGTCATCGATAGAGGTGCGGCCTTTACTGCTGACTCGAGCAATCTTGAGACATAGCCAGACAAGCCACTGCCACACCACTGCCTACCACCCATAGACAAATGGTCTCACTAAGCGTCTAAACAAGAAAATCGCCGACATGCTGGCCGTGTACGTCGACGTCGAACACAAGACGTGGGACGCCATTCTTCTGTACGTGGCCTTCGCATACAACACGGCCGTGCAGGAGACGACGCAAATGCAACCGTACAAGTTGGTCTACGGAAGAAACCCGGCAACGACGCTCGACGCAATGCTGCCGAACATCTTTGGTGAAGAAAACCGCGACGTCATCCTTTATCTTCAGCGCGCTGAAGAAGCTCATCAACTCGCCCGCCTGCGCATCGTGAATCAGCAGACGAGCGACCGCCACCGTTACAACCTTCGGCGACGCTTCATGGCATACCAGCCCGGTGAATGTGTTTGGGTATGGATGCCGATATGCCGACGTAGACTCAATGAAAACTTCTGCAACGCTACTTCAAACCATACAGGGTAGTACTCAGCCCACTCGACTACCATGTTGTTCCCGACGGCATTAGGAACTCTCAACGGCGCCGATCGCGGCCTGAAGTCGTCCATGTCGTGCGCCTCAAGCCGTTTCATGAACGTTAAGGAACTGAAAAAGTGTATTTTGTTGTTGTCATTATTGCTGTATTGTGCTTTATCGTTATTGCTGTATCATACTTTATTGTTTTTACTTTCCTACATTACTATCACACTCTCATCTTCTGTTAAAGCACCGGGACAATGCCTTTTTCACAGGGGGGCAATGCCACGTTCTTTCCTCAAGTTTTCTTATCACGCCGTTATGCTGTACGCAATTCTCAGCGCGAACTGCGCCTACAGTGTTTGAGAAGCTTCAGGGCTGCCGTAGATCATTTTGTTGAGATTACAAGTCCCTCGTCGTGAGCTTTTCAGATTATTCTGGAATCTACGTCGTCGCTAGCGATAACACTAGATTGTTCGATGGTGAGTGTATAAGTGCCGACACGCTTCGCCGCTTCTCAGTTGATCGACGTTCGACGTTCGACGCTCTGCTCGCCGCTATTAGTGCAAGTGTCTCGGTGTAAGCTGACTTTTTTTTTTACGTGGCCACAAGTTCAGCTCGAATAAACAGTTTATTCTTCTACCTGCAGTCCGCTACCTTCGTCCACATCACGACCCCGTGACAATATGGAACATCAGCGCTTGTGTTGCGGGGTCATTTTTTCTTCGTCCTGTTTTTTACTCCGTTTTCATTCTATTATCCTGTACCAACTGGTCCTTCAAGACACCCTTCTGCAATATCCCATAAATATATATCAGATGCATGATTGGCCCTTTCTTCTGTAACCTGTGGGTCTCTTCTTGCAGCGGTAAATGTGAATTTCAACAGAATATAGAAAGAAGTCGATTAGTCGCGAAACTTGTTACCTTTACTTCACTGTCTTATTACTGTTTCAGGTGTCGTACGAGCTTGGAACGTATAATTTCTACAAAGAGAACTACAAAAAGGCTGGGGAGCTTTTTGAAACTGCCCTCTCCCTCCATCCAAAGGTGAGATGCAGTGGAATACTGGTAAAGCAAGGCAACTACTCACCCTTTTTTTATTTTCCTGAGTTCTTGGGTTTTCACATAGTATTGCTCGTATTTAGACAAGAAGTGTAAATTTAAGGGCTCATTTTTTTTTTTACACACAATATTAAGAACTAAGAGAGAATGATGCCAAGGAAGTTTATAGGGGGTGTTATTAGAAGTAATCGTAATGTAAATGTGAAGAAAGATAAGGAGATGAAAAGATAACTTGCCTCCGGCAGGATCAGAACACTCGAACTTCGAATAATGCATCTGGTGCTGTACCACTTAGCTAAGGTGGCTGTCATCCCTCCGTCCGCTTTATAGGGTATATACCGTATTTACTTGCGTAATGAACGCACAGATTTTCTCGAAAAATCAAAGCAAAGTTAGGGGGTGCATTTATTACGTGGGGTAAATTTATAAAAACATTCTCGTGGGGGGGGGGGGGGGGGCAAGAAAAGTTAGGTTGCTTGGCTTTTCGCAATTGACATAAGCATACACTGTTTAGAAGCAGCTTCTTCGTTGCTCTTTACTCATGTTCGGTTGTTGTTGGCACTACCTTCTCCAAGCTGTCCTCGGGCTGCCCATGCACGCCATGAAAGCGTTCTGCGGCTATCTTTTCTTGCAATAGTTTAACGACAATATCTGCTATGATCTTGAGAGGTGGCCAAAAGCGTGCACTACGACGCACTTTGCCAACTTCACGGCAACGTCACATGACGACCGCGATGATGAAGTTAACATTGTAGCAAGTAATTAGCATTGCAACAAGCTACCACCGCAGCATCAAAACAAATCGTCAACATAACAAGATTAACAACGAAATACGGCTGCCGCCTCGCTTCTACATGGGAAGTTTCTCTACGCGCCAATATCAAGCGAAGCGAGAAATCAGGGGTGCTACCAAGTTGCGGAAATTGTCATGATCTTTTCTGGACGACAAGCTATGTTTTTCTGGTTTTTCAGAAACCTGCGACGCAATAGTGACGAATGATCCTTCGCAACAGCAAATCCTGTCATCGTTGCTCGAAAATCGCCTGCACATGATTGGGCTTTTTCGTATTCGCAGGAAGCGATCGTCGGTTGGCGCGGGCACCTTCGGGACTTTCGCTCGCTGCGTGCTCATCAGCTGCAATGTCTACACTCGCACCGTTAGTGAACACTGCTGTGGCGCACAGATAAGACAGGGGACGTTCTGTACACAGATAGAAAGAAAAACAATACGGCATGCGGCAACGGGCGAGGGGGGGGGGTTCGAGCCAAGGTGGTTGAGGGTAAGGCCCCCATAACTTCAGCACAGACTTCTTTTGATATGCTCCGCTTCCTCCTCTCCCCGCCGGAGCAAGTTCGTGGCACATTACAGGGAGCGCGACTGTCGCAAGTGAAAGAAAAAACAGCAGTGCGCTGGAGAGGAGGTTGCGAGAGGGAGAGGATATGACGGTACTTTTACGAAGTATAGGGGCTTCAGTTGAGGGTGGTGGGGAAAGTAATAAAAAAACGGAAGAGATCCAATGGGTGAGCAGGCGCCAGATGTCAGTTAGGGGGACTGCAGCAGACAAGTGTAGGGGGTGCATTTGTTACACAGTGGAAAAAAATCCAAATTTTGATGACTGAAGTTGGGGGACATTTATTATGCGAGTGCGTTCATGACACGAGTAAATACGGTATGTGCACTTAAACATCAGAGAGTCAGTTATCGCCACCTGTTGCGACTGCGGCTAGTGTCAAATACTCTTTTTGGCTGTCAAAATTAATCAGTGAATAAAATTGTTCTTGCCTTGCTACTTCCGCAGAGCCTGAAAGGCAGCTTTGCTTTAATAGGAGTGTGATGGAGTCAAGCTGATCGGCCTGTAATTTTTCAAGTCCTTGTCGTAGTGAAAGTCTAGTGCAAAATAAATAAAGTAGGAAGCACTATTGGAAAAAAATATTATAAATTTTGAATATTCATACATCCATAATTTAAAAATTTGCAGAACAATGAGAAATAGTGCTATGACCGTCAGAACGGTGCATCCATATTTCAGGCACCTAGCATACCAACAGCCATTTGACGAAAACCGGTTCAGTCTCAAATATAAGACCTTGTTTTGTCCGATCGCATAGGCAATTAAAGTGTTCTCAACAGGCTGAGCAGGATTGGCAACCGTCATGCACAAACTTCCACTGCTGTCTTGCTGTTCTTGCTCTCAACCTATGACATAGGCCTCAAGCAAGCGGCGGGCAGCATGCAGTCTTCGGACCTATCACTTGCGGCCCAGCCCATTCATGACTGTCTTCCTCCAACCCCCTCTTCTTTTTTTTTCTTTTTTTGTGACTGTGATTATGACTGAAACTTGTGAGATATGATTTTCTCACTTGTTGCAATTAACTATTCTTGTTTGGGTAAGCCTCATTTTTTTTTTTCTAAGGTACCCTCTGCAGTCACTATGTGTTGAAACATAACTGCAGAACAAAAGTTGAATGCTTCAAAGCTAGCATCCGTATTTTAGTCACTCTGGCGATCAGTATTGATGTGTTTTTCCAATCCTGGTGCCAAATTCCCCAAAGAATGACCCACACATAAGGTGTGGGAAAGGTGTTTCTAATGGCAACATTAGGTGACATTTTGTTCCAGCTCCTCTCCCACCCTTTCGCTTCCATCCTCATTGTCCCAGCCATTGTGGGGCTGAAGACCTTGTACAATCAAGACCCAGCACCGAATACCGGATCTTGATTCTACCGGGTCTTGCTGTAAATTACCCTGAGGCAGCTACTCAGCACTGCAGTATGCCATTGTCTGAATATTGGTGCTAAAGCACATATAATCCTACGTCTGATTCGTCTCTATTCTTGTCGTTTTGACAGGTGAAGAAGAAATTGGTATGTCATTTGGACATGGAGCGACTGAAGGGCTTCTGTGTGGCATGCCGTCCACTTACCACGAAGAAAACCACATCCCCACTGGAAAAGCTAAAGGCTACTTTGCATGGCAACTGCAAGGTGACCCCTTTATCTAGGCAACTAGAAATCTACATTTCATACAGTTATGTCAGGTGTTAACCATGCATGTTATATTTGTATGCCATTGGAATCGGATTTTCGCTGTGTGGGCATTTGTGCTAACCTTGACAGCCTAGGCTTACACCTCCAGGGTACAGCTGTGCGGTACCTCAAAATGTCTTCACCTGGTTTGGGCATTGCATCATGCCTAGTTCCTGCATCGACTGCTGTTCATGCAAAATATTGCTGCATTGTACACCATAAAAATAGATGAAAATTTTAAGTACAGCCGTGGCCTTTCATTACGTTTCTGCCGGATGTGAAAATCCTGCTGAATAATTATGTAGGGACAAAAACAGACCCCCGAGGTACCTCTATGAGTAAAATGCAGCCAGTCAGCTGCATTCAGAAGGGAAGTAATGCGTTTTCATAGATGTTTTTCGTGTAAAAAAAATACTGACCAATTCTCTTACATTTTTTTTTGGTGGCACCAAAATCTTTAATCCTTGCTGTAATATCATGGTTTCAGTGATGTTCTATTTGCTTTGTTTATAAAAGTAACACTTGCATCTGTGTTGCATAGTAATTTTGATTGTGAGGCAGGAATAATTCCAAACGATTAGAACATTTATCATGTATTGAAGTAAGCGGGAAAGCTTTTTTATTATTTTTTTCAGTTTAGTGGCTTGCCATCAGGTGTATGAAACCAGCATGTTCGTTGTTGTCCTTTGTAGATGTGCAGGCTGTCTTATTTTCTCTTCAGGCAACAGTGTCTGTGCTTCTTGAGGACAATGTGAAGCGAGAGATTCCTCTGTGGGAAAGGGAACTGGCTGAAGTCAGTGTCCACCAACTTGCCGCCGGGTAACACTTTATTATTTTATTTTTCATAGCGCAAAAAATATACAACTACATCTAGTTTTTATGCAGTACTGTTAAACCCCTTTATAAGAGGCATGCTCTGGGCAGCAGTTTTTGTCTTTTATATGAGATGTTTCTTATAAGCAGGGTACCTCATATGCAGTTCCTTATCTACCCCTATCTTACTGTAGTCACATTGGTGTCTTATACCCATTTGTCTCTTATATCAGTGTCCCTTATAAAAAGGCTCACCTGTATAACGGTTATGTAAGGCATTCCATCCTACACTCCGTTTCACACATCAGGTGCAACACTGCAGAAGCTGTGCAAAAAGTTTGGTCAGCAAAATTCACCACTCAGCACGTATTGTAGCCGGTTTTTGTCATCTTAAACCCTCGCGCGAGCCGAGCAGGTTTTTCTGTGTGACCTGCTGCTACGGCTTGCAAAACAAAACACCAAGGCAGGAAAACGAATGGGACCTTAAGTGATCCATGTCGTATAATGACAACTGTGCAACAAGGTTTGTTTCTCTGTAAGGTACAAAACATGCTCATTCAATGGTCAACCTGAAACGAAAACAAACATATATCCAGGCTTGTAAAAACAAGGAACTATTTTTATACGCGAATGCATCTACCGCAAGAAGTCTCCAGTCTCTACCACGTTGCACAGGACGTGTGAAACGGGGTGTAGCTGCGACACTGTTTGCTACCCCTGCTCATTAAAGAGTTGATGCGTCGCCTTACTTATTAGTATGTATTAGAATGCAAAGTATCACATATTTGGGTGACCATAATTGAAGAGCCCACTTGCTTCTACCAGTTTGCTTCCCAGCAGCACCTTTGGCTGCTGTGTATCATACACGACATTGAGTAGTATTTTGGGGCTACAACTGCTGCTACTGTTCCTGCTATTGCCAGGACACCACACCATTCCATGCGTGCAGTTGACCCATGCATTCGAGAGTTGCATTGTGAGGGTTATTTCGAGCTATCTGCCACAGATCGAGTAGGCTTCAGCTGTTGTCGCAGCCAGGAAAAGAGATGGCATGACTCAAACCTGCAAAAACTTTCGAAAGCAAAACAAGCGTTGTTGTAGGGGACAGTTTTCCACTGCAACAAATCGAACAACATTGGACATTTTGGCTTGTACACGGCAATTCTCCAGCTAAATTTCGTTTCTGCGTACCATCAATTACAGTGCAGTCCACTTATAACGATATCGAGAAAACCTAAAAATATGATCGTTATAACCGGTGATCGTTATATCTGGACTGCCGCCAAAAAATCGTCGCCGGATGTACCTTTTGTAGCTCCAGGCTTCATTTCGCTATTTTCACCAATTAATAAATATTGTAGATAGTAGGATGTCAAAAACAAGACTTTATTTCTTACTCTGAAGAACGCATCACGGGTTCGCTGAGGAAGAGAGACTGACCGACGGCGGGGTGGGAGCAGTGGGAGGAAGAAAGCACAGCCAGAGGTACACAGCCGGAATGCCAACGAGGCCCCGCCCCGATGCCGCCGCGCCGCTTTGCTTTTAGCTTTTTTTATTTTCTCTCTCTTTCTCGCTTTCGTTCGGCAATCTACGAGTAGCTTGCCGTTGTAGAAGGCGGGGAGCCGTGGAGCGCGGCACTTTGCTTTTCGCATTTTTTTTTAAAATTCTCTCAGCCTCTCCGCGGTCGACGCGCGGCGAGGCGCAAAACGTGACACAGCTGGCGCCATCTGTAGCGCGTCGCGCCAACTCGCGATGCTCTCCTCGGCTTTTTGAACGGCCGGGACGCGCTGCCGGCGCTGTGCTGCAGTGGCGGCAGATACGTACTCGCCTACGCTAACTTTTCGTCTTGTCTCGGCCTAGTTCGTTTCAGAGGAACTTATCAATCTAAATGTTACGATTATTCTGAATGAAACATGCCGTCCACGGCAAACTTTTCATCGTTGTATCCGATACGCGGTGGATAACATATCGTTATATATGGTTTTTTTCCCCATAGCCCCAATGCATAAAATGAGACTGTTAAGTCGACCCATCGTTATAACCGATATATCGTTATATGTGGTATCGTTATAAGTGGACTGCACTGTACTACTTTATTCAGAAAGTTGATCTCACCCCAATTGTCTTGGTAGTATAGCTTCGGACTGCATGCCCCTATCGCTGCCATTCATGCTGCATTAATCTGTCCATCCTTCAGTGCAAGCAACCTGTGACTGAGAAATGGGGACTCGAATAGTGTCAGAGGGTCCTTGCGAGATACTTGATGCACAATATGCTCATCCTGATTTTGTGATCTGCGCTTTCCTTGAGTGATTCAGCTTGACTAAGGAAAATTAGGCGCGTTCTCATCTTTCTCAAGTTCAGTGATCGGTGTCAGGTGATGCTTATATGAAAAACTTTCCTTTGTACATGGTTTTTATGGTTTGCTCAACACTTAAATGGAATAATTTGTCATTTGTCTTTTTTCTTGAGGTATTAAGTCCATGCATATGTCGCTTTCTTTTTTATGGCCGGCTGCAGTACGGAGGTGGCGGCACAGGTGTCGCTCGCCAACTGCGTACGCCGTATAATCGATGGGGAGCTGTTTGTGTGCGGTTCTCAGGTGAACTTTCCATCCCTTGACAAGGGCTGCATCATCTTTCTTAGCGAGGTTAGTGGTGCCACTTTTGCTCCTTTACGTATCCATTTGTATCATCCTGGGAGCGTAGTAGAAAATCATTTCACTCTTATTCTGCACTAGGACGCTGCCCGATGCATATTTTTAAATTGTTGTTTATTTTAATCAAACACTTCATGATGCACTTGAGTATGAACTCAAGGTTGGCCACAGAATAGCTCAGTCTAATTAATGATTACATGTATATACCTGATGATATTTGATCTCGTTGCATCATTATAGTAGAATGAATGAAGTTGGTTGTTAAACTTGTAGGGAGAAATATTGCACATTTAAATGTAGACAGCGTATGCATGTGTGATTTGCAACTTCTATTTATGTTGGATAATTCGAAGTGTTCTCATGTGTACATAACAGCAGTGCTGCCTACTATAGCTACTCACAAAGCCCTGCAACATTTTTTTTTGTATGTGGCAAAAAGGATACGCTCCCTTCAAGTTGAGAGCATACAAGGGTATACGAATCTTCTGTCGCACCTGCTGAAATTAAGCGCATGCCATCGATCGCAACCGCACCCTCAGAAATGTTTGATGTGACTGCTCTAGTGCTGCAACCCTTCCCTGCCCCGCCGATCCATCCCCTCACATTCCTTCATGCTCCTGGAAAACGAGTAGAGCATTCCCTCCCTGCTTGAGCAGCAATTGTAGGCAGGCCTGGCACCTGGGATGGTGTTGTCTCATACACCCTCTGCGCAGTGCATATGAGTCAACTCTTTTCATCTCTGTTACAGCCGCTTTCGTCGCCCTCGCTTGTTCACTTTTATCCACGTGCAAAGCATACGATGCATGGGGGTATGTTATTTGGGCATTACACAAAATATGATGGCAACTGCAAAAACTACTCAAGAATGCTCATATAATTGCCATCACAACAAACAGAAAGCGGCTTTCACCTTCGAGTCATATTAGGCAAACTGCATAAGGACCTGAGACCCTGTGCGGTATTACTATTACTTTTTCGTGCTGCCTTCGTGCTGCTTTCAAATCATGTAGACCCCTAGCTGTTGAACCCACTTTCGAACCCTTTTGCAGATGCTCAGCCAAGGCCGATCTCTATCTGCCAGACAGCCCGGCCCATGCGCTAACGATAGTCTGGAAGCACTGTAGCAATGCTCTAGCTCTGTCACAGAGAAGCCACAGAGAGAGAGAAGGGAGTGTCGGAGGGGTTGGCTTTTAAGGCTAGCGTCATGCTACGCCCAGCAATATAATCGATCGTGAAAAAACAGAAACTGGCTTCTGCCTTGGAATCATCAGGGACAGTAGGAGTCGGGAGCATTGACGGATTGTTGTACCATGCAGAATATATGTCTACCATGCCTGCTGATAGCCACACAAATGGATTTAAGGTGTTATTTCATAAAGTACATCTTTACTGATCCGATACTATTATGTTTATAGTGTCAAAAATAATCGCTGAACAGGTTGTTCCGGATTGCTTAACTGCATGACGCCCTTATTTTTAAAATTTTTGAGTGAACTATGTAGTGCTCCTGAGATTTGCAATGAATCTGAATATTTCTAGCTCTTCATAAAAGCCCCATACAAATATTCTCATCCTTGAAGGCAAATGCGACTTGCTTCTCTAAAGTGTAAAATTAGCTGCTCTAGAGTACTCCCACATGTAAAATTATCTGCTCCAAAGTGCTCTAAAATGAAAATTTTGCTGCTCCAAAAAGTGCTCCAAACAAGAAGACCCCGGTAGCAATAATTATTTTTTTTGTCTGAATTGTTATTAATAACAATTCTGTTTCAGTTACTGTTTCTTCATGTTTTAACAGGCACTGAATTCTGTTATCCCAACGCTGAATGAAAAACAACTGGGCTTTTTGAGGAATTTTGTTGGGTATGTGATCACGCTTTGCTTTTTTTATCTTTCTTGCTTATTTGTTCTTGAGATTGCTAGCAGACATTTGAAAGTACCATGCTATTATGAAACATAGAGTATTAAAGCAAGGGGGCTCGGTTGGCATTGTTAAAAACAGAAAAATTTTTATGCTTGATTTAGCACACGAGTCCTAGAAATCAGCGTTAAAGAGATGCTGACATGATTTGTATACGTATATCGTGGAACCTCTGTTATACGACTTTCAGGAGACCACACAAAACCGTTGTATAATCTGGCCGATGTATAGTCGAAAAAGTAAGAATATAGGTAGTCACATTCATCCTTGTCCAAACAATAAGTACCGGCCGCCTGAATGAGCCCTCGGCATTACCTTGTACTTCTTCGAGGCATTTAGATTAAATTATTCCTGCAATTGGCAGCTAATGGCAGCATTACTGAGCTGAAAGAGTTGTAAGTGAACTTTTATTTCTAACTTCAAAGAAATGAATCCAATGTGCATCGTTCTCCCTATAAATCGAATCCAAAACTTTCCTGCACGTAAAACTGAAGCCTCATTGTCTTCTGAAGAGTTGGATACAGTGTCATTGCCATCACATAATGACGACGGACCACAAGTTTGCATAAAATGCTTTTATGCGTGACTGAGCTGTGTGCGACTGCACGTTGGAATTAGTTGCCTTATGAAGTGCAGCTCGTAATGTCCTGCTGTCATTATTAATTTTGACAAGTCAAAGTTATTTCGCACAATGAAAACAGCTGCATCTTGCCCTTTTGCATGGTCAAGCTTGTGACTGCGAGTACGACAAACAAAGGCAGGAGATGAACTCTCTCTTGCATTGGGGCATCCGCATCCGTGCATAGTAAGGGCTTATGGATGCGCATAGTAGTCCCTATAATTGTGATCTCCGGCCATGAAAATGTGCTGCAGAATGGAAAGGTTTCCATGGACTGAAAACGCAAGAATACTGGAATCTCAGAGATGAGCTTTTGAGCCACCTGAAGCCACTCTGTGTGGATAGAGCTTGCCTGGGTAATATTCCTGAATACGCATGCAATCAAAGCATGCGCAGCATCGCGGGAAGTGCCTGGAGAATAAATTTTACATTCTAAGAAGACATACCAGCTCAGTCTCTGCTTTTCTAATTTTCAGCCTAGGAAAATGCAAGTTCTTATTTTGCACTCGTGAATATTTTAACGCGGTAGCGGAGAGCTCATGTCGCATAAATTCTGACATAGGTGTCGGCACTGTTGATTGTGAGCGCAAAATCGTCCGTAAGCGCAAAATTGAGAAAGAAGCAATGAAATTAAAGAATAAAACTTTCGGCCCCATTGAGAATTGAACCCGGGCCGTTCGCGTGGCAAGCAGGTGTCCTACCACAAAGCTACGATGTTACTTGCTGCTGCTTTTGGAAAAAACACTACAGAAATGCCATGTAGTGAAAGGAGTCTTCTTAACACATATTGTTCGACATGTGTCACAATGAAAACGAGCCCATTCGGTCATTTGTAGACGCAATTTGGAGGCCATCAAACTATGTCGAAAAAGGCCGGGATAGTGCAGCCATTGTCGCTAAAAACACTCAGGAACTTTCAAACAGCTCTAAAAATGGACAACTACCTGTATGTCCATCTAGTGGAAAACATATCGTGCCTTTCTAGAAAGGTTGATCAAGCAAACAGCAAATTCTAGATAATGCGCTGCCACCTGTGAGTCATTGTGAGACTCTTTATTGCCTCCGAGATAGTGAGCGCGTAACGTGTATGTTGGAGGCCATGCGACTTGCTTTGGATAAAAAAACCTGTATGTACCATTTGTGCGTGCGTGCTGGTACAATCTACTGTGGGCATGTGTGTGTGCATGTGTGTGTGTGAGGGTTTGTGTGCAACAAAACATAATAATAAGTATGCACTTAATGGTTGAAGGGCGCACTAGGGGCCAGAGGTGAAGCTTAAGGGTTCTCCAATTTTCTTATTGGTGTTACCTCGAGTAAAGGTGTTTTTTTCTTTTTTACGAAATTGGAATGGCATCAGAAGATGAAGGGTTGGCGTAAAATTGTGTCCTATACCCAAGGGTCCAATTTGTTATTTCTGCGGAGATTTCACCAGGCCCAAACCAATTTGTTGTAAAATGCTGGTCGTAGCGAAACTGGGGAACGTATAATGGAAGTTCCACTATATATCTATAGGCATGCCTGATCATCAAAAGCCGGCTATATAGGGACACTAAATAGCAAAAACTATTTTTTGCATGTTAGCAAAGGATGATTTCATAATTCTGAAAACAACATTTTTTCACACAATAGTTCGTATGTAAAAAAATGCACGAAAAGAAAATGCGGGCGGAGACACCACCTTGATATTCCCGCACCAAACACCGTAAGGTCATAGAAATTGAAGGCGTCTATTGAATCCTACATAGCTTCTAATCTATAAAAATGAGGTACATTGTCGTCTGTGGGTGCCATAGACCTAGCATGCAAAGTTTTAGAAAATTTCATCGAACCAGTGTTACGATGATAACAATGTCTGACAGAGATTTCGGTGCCAAATTTAAAAATTAAGCTTCAACCTTGATTTTGTTCACTAATATAATGAACTTATGATCATGAGACATATGGCACTAGAGTTCTGAGTGGGCAGTTTGTCAATCTAAACGAAATCATTATTTCTCCTTATAATTCATTTAAGAGCTCTTGTGAAGTGTAATTTAAACTTGTATTGCAGTACCTCTTCTCTTGAACTGTTCAATTGCCCGTGCCCATTCTGCATGAGATGTGTCCGTAGTGTTATTCAGGATCAGATTGTTACTTCTGTCATTACAAATCCCTCAAGCATATTATTTAACTACACTTCTTTGTAATAGCGTATTTGTCCATAGTGATTTTTTTTCTTGTAAAAATAATACGTAGATGTCACTGGCTCGGTATGTTACCTTTCTGTGGCAGAAATGTGGATGGGACGGGCACTCGTCTTTCCAGGTGGTATGTGTGCAGAGAGAAATCTGTAGAAAGTTCATGCTGTAAGAGCGACAATCTGCTTGCATAACCTTAATCTGAAGGCCACCATCATAATGAGAAAAACCCCTCGGGAAAAGCGGCCTCAGTTTAAACTGTAGCAATTTTCGTTGAGAGAACCGCTGATCTGGCCTGTGTAGTGACGTGGCGTTTGTAACTAACGTTGCGTTTAATTTCATACTATTTCTCAGATATCTGTGCAATGCCTCAGCGGATGTGGCCAAAACACTTTCCTGCTCTGGTGTTATGAAAAAGTACTTCCCATCGGATCAGGTGACCCCACCAGGTGAAATACCACCAAAGATTCCTCTGGATAGGATCTCCTTTTCTGGTGAGTATTACTAGTGACTTCTATCGTTTTATGCTCTGTCACTATGTAGACACACCAGCTTTTACTGTATTTGGCCAACTTGCTAAAGGGCACTGATGGTGAACATTTAATACCTTTATTACCTTATTGCGTGCTCATTGTCTGTTTCTGTTTGAAGCCAAGAACTGTTCAAATTCACTACAGTGCTTATTTAGGCCATTCGGTAAATGTTCGTAGAAAACAAAAAACAGCACAAACAACGGGACAACAACGCTCTGCCCAGTGTTCCTGCTCACATAATTGCTTGGTTTCTATGTTGTGCTTTGCAAGCTCTGTCAAATTCTTGGTGTGATCTTGTGCAATAAAGGTGTAGGTGCATATAGACTTGAGCTTCTCCTCCTCCCGTGACTGTTGACTTCGGAAGTCATTGCAAATGTACAAGTAAGAGGGCATTGTCTATCTTATGGTGAGCAGTAGGAAAATGCCGCCCACTGCTTTGGTTTCTCATTGAACATTCTGGCTGAAGACCAAGGCCTTTGCGAGAACTCGACCATTGTAAAATAGTCCACGCTTAAACGTCATTATAACAAAGTTGCATCTAACACGAAACTAAGTTTGTTATATCTGAAAATTTGTTATAAAGGTATATTTCTAACTATATGTATTACAAGATTATTCTTCATTTACTTCATCATAACGAATATTTTGTTATATCTGGGTTAGCTATACAGTAAAAGCTCGTTAATTCGACACACGTTAATTCGGAAATTTGGATAATTCGGACAGCTCTATTGGTCCCGGCCAAAGTGCATGTTAATCTATGGGACCAAACCTTCGTTATTTCATCGGAATTTGGCTCCGCACCGCTTAATTCGGACAAATGCTGACGGCTGCTGCTACACAAAAGTGTGATAAAGCGGCGCTGGCACCACTGGGGTGAAACTGAAACCTGAGTGGCATCGCCATCATCATCAACTAGTGGGGGCAATCGCAGCGTCACCGAACGTCGGCGTCTTCTTTCTTCTCCACTCAGCGCCTCCGACGCCATTTTCCCTTGTGTTGTCGTGTCGAAACCATCTCTTCTTGCGGAGTTCTCTTTTTCTTCCATTGTGACCGTATTTGCACGCCACCACCATCGTGCGCTACAGTGATGGCAACGCCGAAAAAGCGGCAGAACTACGACACGAAGAACTTGGCGACGAAAGTGGAAATTTTGGAAGCACTGAAGAACGGCGAATCGTGACAGCAGGTTATGACCAAGTACAACGTGAAGCGGAGCACGTTGGAAACGTACGTGAAAAATGAACCACAGATTCGACAAGCCTTCGAAAGCAAGAAGTTTCATGCCTCTAGAAAGCGGTTGCGAACCGCAGCTCATCCCCAGCTCGAAGAAGCTTTGCTCCGGAGGATTACTGACTGTCGCAACGCGGATCTGCCTTTGAGCGGACCTCTCATCATGGCGCAAGGTGAGAAGTACGCTGCAATGATGAACATTGAATCGTTCAAAGCGTCAGAAGGGTGGTTTGCGAGGTTTCGAGAGAGACACGAACTTGTCTTCAGGAGTGTGTGCGGCGAAAAGGCCAGTGTTGACGAAAGCGTGACCACCGAGTGGAGAAATATGAAGCTGCTGGAGCACATCGCCGCATATGAACCACGTGACGTGTTCAATGCAGATGAAACTGCTCTATTTTTCAGAGCTCTGCCCGACAAGACGGTGACTTTCAAAGGGGACGCGTGCATTGGTGGCAAGAAGTGCAAGCAAAGGATAACTGTGCTTCTTGCCGCCAATATGACTGGCACAGAGCACTTGCCACTACTTGTCGTAGGGAAGGCGCTTAAGCCACGTTGTTTTAAGAACGTCAAAAGCCTTCCTGTCGAGTACACAGCGAACAGGAAGGCATAGATGACATCGGACATTTTTCGTGGCTGGCTGCAACAGTTGGACCGGCACTTCACGTCGAAGGACCGCAAGATAATTATGGTTGTTGACAACTGCAGTGCCCATAACTGTACAGTCGAACTGAAGAGCATCAAAGTAGTTTTTTTGCCGCCCAACACTACGTCTGCTCTTCAGCCGATGGTTCAGGGTATCATTCACTATGTGAAGTCGAAGTACCGCAAGCACCTGCTAGAGCGAATGATCCTATGCTCAGAAGCTGGAAAGTTGTATCAAGTGGACTTACTCGGCGCAGTGCACATCTTCGCCCACGTGTGGAAAAACACTCCGCCGCAAGTCATCGCCAACTGTTTTCGGCACAGCGGTTTTGTGAGGCCCGAGCATGCAGCAGTAGCTGACAATGGCATCGAGGAGGTGTCAGCCGAGTCCACCGACGATGACTGTCCGACTTTCGATGCTGTCCTTCCCACAGATGTGACCTTTCAGGACTACATCGCGATTCATCATGGTGTCGCCACGAGTGGTCTCCTGACCGATCAAGAGATTATTAATGATGTCACGGGCGCCCATGAAGACCACGATTCCGACGAAGAATCATGCGAGGAGATACAGCCGCAACCTCATTGCACCTCACGGGAAGTCTCGGAGGCGCTGTTAATATTAGAGGACGCTTGCCTGAACACTCCCGACAGCTTGTGTGCTGTTGGCCATTTGGAACAGTTAAGAAAAAATTGTGATGTCAGCCGGAATCTGCGCGAAAACGCAGACGACAATTACAAAATACTTCAACAAATAAAGGTATGCTTCTGCAGCTTGGTTTTAAATGTTGTTTTCCGTGTTCATTCGTTAATTCGGCATTCGGTTAATTCAGACGGTTTTTTCAATCCCGTGAAATCCGAATTAACGAGCTTTTACTGTATCTAGGTGTGAGTGTACAGTCGACTCCCGTTAATGCAAAGTTCACGGGAACTGCAAAAAACTTCGAAATAAACAAACTTCGAATTAAGCAAAAATCACTAAAAACGGCACTTTTATTAGTTTAAAAGCGCGACAGTTTTGAGGAAAAATAGTCTGTCATCTTCTTCTGCTTGCCGAATCTGGCTGCCGCTAGCAAGTTTTGTAAGGAATACACGTGTCGAAGTGCTTCTTCGGCGTTGTGTTCTCCAACAAAAAACCGCTGCGCAAGAGCAAGACCCGCAGCTACATCGGCAGCCCTCGGTGGTGGCTCATTTCCGATGTCGTCGTCATCAACGTCATTTTCAGGAATGCAGTCATGGGGCCGAACCATCTGCACGATTTCGCTGTCCGTTAGCGGACCGCATGTTTCGACGTTGCTGTCCACAGCGACATACTCGTCGAAACGGACGTCACCGAGAGCGGCGCGAAAGCTACCGTCGTCGAGCTCATTTGTTTGCACTTCCACTGGCGCACAAGGAGAAGCATTCCCCGAGTTTTCCATGAAACCACAGGCCCGGAAACAATTGACGATGGTTTCTTCTTTCACGCGGGTCCAAGCTCGCGCTAGCATGTTGATGGCACTAAGCAAACTCACCTCGTATTGCGACTAGTTGTCCATGCACAAAAGCATGCGCTCGACGAGATGCTGCCTATACAATACCTTCACATTTTTTATTATGCCCTGGTACATGGGCTGCAACACGGACGTCGTGTTTGCAGGCAGGTATACAAGACGGATGGCACTCAAGGCAGGTACGTTCATGTGGGCACTACATTGGTCCACAAGGAACAACACCTTACGGCTTGATTGCGCGAACTTGCGGTCGAGTTTGGTGATCCAGTCCTTAAATATATCGGATGTCATCCACGCCTTTCTGTTCGAGGCATAATCCACCGGAAGCGTCTTCACGCTTTTAAAGCACCTGGGCTTGGCAGCCTTCCCGATCACAAGCAGGCGACACCGTTCTGTGCCAGTCATGTTCGCCGCGACTAGCACTGACACTCTCTCTTTGCTTCTTTTGCCTCCAGAACAGTCGTCGTGTTTAAATGTCAGGGTCTTGTCCGGTAGCAGCCGATAAAAAAGCGCAGTCTCGTCTACATTAAAAATGTCTGCTGGCTGGTATTCTTCGAGGTACTCGCGAAGCTTGCCCGCTTTCCATGTCAGGCACGTTTCCTCATCGACTGACGCCTTCTCCCCACACACGCTGTTAAAGTGAAGTCGTGGCGATGTTTGAAACGCGTAAGCCACCCATCCGAAGCAGCGAAGTCGTTGATGCCCAACATTTCAGCAAGCGATGACGCTTTGGCCGTGACGACTTCACCACTGAGAGGAAGTTTGTTGTTTCGTGCCTCTCTGATCCAAATCAGCAGTGCTTCCTCCAACTCGGGGTAGGCGCCGGTGCGCATCCGCTTCCGCGATGTCTTGAATTTTTCACTTTCAAACGCATCCAATATTGAGCGCTTATTCTTTATGAAAGTCGACAGCGTGTTAGGCTTAATGCCGTACTTTCTTGCAATGTCTTGTTTGGCGGTGCCTCCCTGGTCAACTTCCTTCAAGACTTCGACTTTCGTCGCTAGGTCTAGCGTTCGGTAAGGGCCACGAGTTGCCATTATCAAACGTACGTCACCACCACAACACTCAAAATCAGAAGCGCGGAAACACGTGTGGAATCAACCCAGCGCGCGGGTGACGCGGTGACACACTCGAGTCTCGACAAAAGTCAACTAAAGAGTCAGTCGATGCCGCGGATGCGATTCGCCAGCGCTAAAAAGATTGCCGCTTCAAGATCTGTGGCGCTGCGGACAGTAGTGATGGCGAAGACACCAGCGCGGTCCGGCAGATGTTTTGGCATATGAAAAGTTCCCCATTTTACTGTAAAATTACGGTCGCGACGAGACTGTCGATTGAAAAAACTTCTAATTAACCAATATTATGGGTTTTTAATTTCGAATTATCGAGCATTTTTTTCTATACGATTACATGCAAAACTGATGGGACCACTTGCTCATTTCTAATTAACCGAAACTTCCAATTAAGCGACTTCGAATTACCGGGAGTCGACTGTATTTTCCAAAAGTGAAATCATTCATATGGGTATAGCGCACCATGACAAGGACACAAAAAGAAAGACACACACACAGGGCGCCCTACTTGCAACTAATGTTT